ACTGTTTTATATTCTGCTTTTAACAAGCAGTAATATCTTAAAAAAGAAAAACCCATTAATATCTTATGATGAACCTTTTTGTGTAAATAAATTATTCAAACACATAATTTTTACAAGATCTGTAATATTCCATCATAATGTATTTTTAAAATATATTTTTATTTTTCAGTAATCTCACAACCCCGAGATCAAGAGTTGCACGGTCTACTGACTGAGCCAGCCGGGAGCCCCTCCATTGAATCATTTCCTTTTCTTTCAACTTTTCATTATTGTAAATAAATCTTTGCACATACATTTTTGAGCATGTCTTTGTTTTTTAGACTACATTGTTACAAGTGGAAATGGTGGGCACTGGGAATGAAACATTAAAGTTCTGGATAAAAACAAGGAAACTACCAATTTATACTCTCTCCAGACATGTATGAAAGTGTTTCACTGCATACTCATTATTTATTATATTTTTAACCAATTTTAAAGCTGAAAAATGTTCCCATTTCATTTTGCATTTCTTTGATTCTCCAGTAAATTGAAGAAATTTCCCCCTTTTCCCCCTCCTGAGCTGTGTAAGGAATTTCATCTATTCTTTTACTCATTAGCATTGGCTGGTCAGACGTCTACAGTGTGGCGCTCTGGGTTGCCAGGAGTGGAAAATCAAGTATGGGCGCTACTGAGCTTAGTCTAGTGAGGAAGGAAGACCTTAACCAAGAAACAAAATATAACTATAAATTATAAAATTGGATTATAAATGAATCAAATTATATGCTACCCAAAATCTCAATGATTTAGAAAATGAAACAATAGCCAGCAGAGCCAGTGACTTACTTCAAGTGGAAATTTTTGTCCTTCTAAACTATGTTCCGATCCTTCAGAAGACATATTGCATTTTCCCCAGTGGAAAGTTATCTTGCTTGCTTTGAACACCACTTCTGAAACTCCTCCACTGAGACGGTAGTCATTAGTGAGATTAATTTCCACTTTAAAGAAAAAACACAAAATTGCATCTGTGTTTCGGAAAATCAAAATAACAAATTTCAACTACACTTTCTCCTATCAAAGTTACATTAA